CAATTTCACCAATTTTTTACATAATCCCATTTAATCCTCACAATAGCCCTTTGAGGTTCATATTTATCCTATTCTACACTTGGAAAAACAAACTCAGAAAAATCAAATAATTCATCCATAAATGATGGGATTGAGAACACAGGTTTTTGATGCCATGGATTCATACCTCACATCCACTCCTAAATCCTACCAGGAACAAGCAAATGTTCATTATGATTAAGAATTTATGACTTCTTAGCTACAAGCACATACATGGCAGCATGGCATAGAATACTATACCAAGAATCAAGAAGACAATATTCTAGTCCCCACATGACTTCTTCTATATGACTTTGACAAATCACTTAACCCTTGAGTAGGTTGAACTCAACTTATTGCTAAAGCTGTATCCACTTGTGTAGAAAATGAAAGTTCCTGTGGCCAGGATTCTTACCTGGCCCTGGTTGGCTTGCTCACTACCCCCGTGTGGGCAATATGCCATTATTGACTCTATATAAAGAGCTCTGCCCAGTGCTCTCAGTGACATGGTGGCATGGCTACAAGGCTGCAGGAGAGCAGAGCAGAGGCTGGAGTGATGGCAGTGCCGAGGACAGAGGCCCAGAGGCAGAGACCGGCTTGCTGCATTCAGACTCACTCTGAGTGAACGAGATTTTAGTGATTGACCTGCCACCGTGCAAATAAGGTTGGGTATAACCCTTTCACCCCAAGAACATTCTACTGTCATTTCTTTGGTCACACTGAATCCAAAGTGAACTTGCCTGGGGGTTAAACCCATTGGCAAGATACCACTACAACTAAAGTGCTACATCATTACAATCATTGCTGCAAAATGGGTTGTCCATTCAAGGAACAGCTATTATTCTGAAAATTAGCTCATCTCTGTCTTGCCAATGGGTTTCAGCCCCAGGCAAGTTCACTACGGATTCAATGTGGCCAAAGAAAATGACAGTAAAACGTACTTGGGGTGAAAGGGTTATAGCCTACTCTATTTCCACGGTGGCAGGTCCATTGCTAAAATCCTGTTCACTCAGAGTGAGTCTACACATTCTTGGGGTGAGAGTTATAGCCAACTCTATTTCCACAGTGGCAGATCCATCGCTTAAATCCTGTTCACCCAAGAGTCTGCATGCAGCAATCAAGTCTCTGCCTCTAGGCCCCTCTGCCCACGGTCTTCCGAACCTCTGTCCTCAGCGCTGCCACCATTTCAGCCTCTGCTCTGCTTGCTGGCAGCCCTATGGCTGTGCCACCATGTCACCCAGAGCACTGGTCGGAGCTCCTTATAGTTAGTCAATGCAACATATTGCCCACACATGTGCAGTGAGCTAGCCAACCAGGGCCAGGTGAGAATCCTGGCCACAGGAACTCTCACTTTATCCACACTCTCATAAAGGCATAATTGTTCAGTCAGTCACATTTGGAGCTCCCTACAGTAAGTCTAATGCTAAGCCAGGCGTTGCATATTTCAAAGTAAGATATTAAACAGCTAGGTTTTTTCCTACTGCATGGGGCATCAGCACCCCTAACCCCTGCATTGTTCAAGGGTCAACCATATAAGCAAGGAACAGATGAAGAATGCAGGCAGACCAGAAAGGTAAAGGGCTACCTAGATGTCTTGCCTGAGGGCTTCAGCCCAGGGGTGATTCACTATGGATTTGGTGAAACTGAGAAATGACAACGGAATGTTCTTGGGGTAAAAGGGTTTATACCCAGCTTTATTCTCATGGCAGTAGGTTGAGCACTAGAATCATGCCTTGTGGGGAAGTTGGGGTTCCTATGACCAGGATCCTCACTGAACAGAAGCCACCTGATGATGTAACTGGCCTGTTGCTAGGCTACTGCTTCTACACCTTTAGGCAATAAGCTACTATTGCACTATAGAGCTCAGCCCAGTGCTCTGGGTGGAGGCAGAGACGCTAGTGCTTGACCTACCGCTGGGAGAACAAGCCAGGTAATAAACCCTTTCACCCCAAAGAACGTTTTGCTGTCAATTTCTTTGGTTACATTGAATCCATAGCAAACTTGCCCGGGGCTGAAAACCTATTTGCAAGGCACGCCTACATCCAGCAGTTTGCAGGTCCATAATCCACCTGACTCTGCCTCCTCCCAGAGCACTGGGTGGAGCTCTTTATAGTGACTCAGTCAGTAAGCTCATTGCCTATAGGTGTGGAAGCATTTGCTGAGCAGTAGGTCAATTATAACACCAAGTAGTTTAGGGTCAGGTGAGGATCCTGGCCCCAGGAACTTCCCTATACTAGCCCAGTGAAGCTTCTAGAGGAGTCTCAAGTGTTCCTGGTGACACAAATGCTAACTAGTACACTTCTACTTCACATACATGCCAAGTTTGTCCTTGCCTCCCAGGCCTTTGTTTTCTGCCCATTTTTGGTTCCTTCTCATTCTTCCCATACCAGCCCAAATGTTTCTCCTATGGAGGCCTTCCCTGATGACAGTCTAAGGTAGTGACTCTCTCCCCCACTCCCCAGCCCATCAGCTTATATATTTCCCTATCATAGCTATCAGAAGTTTGCTCCTTTACTGTCCACCATCATTAAAATGCAAACATAACTGTAAAAGGGGACCTTCTCTATTTAGCTCACCATTATATCAAGGCATCCAGCAATAATTGCTGAAAATATGAATGGAAAACTGGTAGAAAATGATTAGAAGAGTGCCAATGACTAAGGTAATCCAGAGTGGGAAGTACACATGCCAAGATCCATGATTATCTGTGGAAAAGGGAAGGGAAAATTGTGAGGCAAGTTGGAGAAAAGAGAGAAAAAGAATAAATGAGTCTAACTGAAAAGAAAGGAATCCCTAATTTTAACTGAGGCACTGTTTTACTAACTGGGGAAATAAAAAGACAAGGTAGGCTTATTGCTGGCTTAACTAAATTTACCTTATCCAGCCAGTACTGCTCAACTGCACACACACACATGCTTGCAGGTGTTAAAACTGATACAATCTTATTGGAGGAAAATCTAATAATGTGTACCAAAGTTTAAACATATACATCCTTCCATCATCCAATCTTAATTTTGAGAAATTATCCTAAAGAGATAATAGGACAAGTTCACCAAGGTACAGTTACAACATATTTATGATGAAATATTAATGAAAAAAAGCCTAAATATTCATCCAAATGATATTATTAAAATAGTTAATGGCATATATGGAGGCATTAAAAAGAATACAAAGATACAAAGACCTTTTCTACTACTGAGTGAAATAAGCAAATTACAGGCAAACATACATGATATGATCACATTATTGTAAATACAATAAAACCAGTATGTTAAGTTCAGAAGAAGATAAAATGTTAAAAAGAGTAGTTGTCAATTCACTTTTTACCTTTAATTTTCCAAGCTGGCATTGTCTTTTTTTTTTAGTAGAAAGATTGTAAAGAATAATCAAACAGTACATCAGTCAGTCAGTCTGTATGGTGTGAGAAAAAAATTGGGGCAAGAAAAACTTCACATGACTATGAAAGACTATTCTTTTCTTGGCCTGAATAGGGGTAAATAATGACTTATGTACAACCTGTGCCTTTCTACGTATTACCCAAATCAAAGTGCACATACTCAAATGCCTATCTGACCTCTCAGAGTATCATTATCAACAATTACTACCACTCTAGGATCCCAGTATTTCAAAACAAATAGTTTTTGATCTATTCAGCTGTTCACTGTGTCATCAGGCTATATGAAGTCTAAAACTATCCCATTTAAAAATTCCTTCCCTTTTAAAAAACTGCCACAGAACCCACTGACATTTTTCAATAGATAGTGACAATTATTTCCTGGGGAAATCATACACAAAATAGCAAAATGATGATATTGTGGCACATCAGTTTCATTTCACTCCGTATGTGAACAAGAAAAACATTACTGATTTCACAGCAGCTTTTTCTTAGCGCAAGCTGACAGTGTATACGTAAGAAGCCATGATCAACAGAAGCTCTATATGATATCTAGATACAAAGTTGAGAAACAGTACAATGCAAAAGACCAAAACATTTGATTAGCTTTCAAACCTGCCCTGCCATCCACTAAACAAGAAGCCCTTTACACCTTTCCCTTTCATTACTATTATTGCTCAACACTTTCACTCATTCCATGACCATTCCATTTTTTCCCATTCTTTCAATTAACTGTCAGATACAATAAAACAAGCTGAGGAGAACTTAATAATGTGGGTAACTGTTGAACCATCTTTGTAAACTTGAAACCAATTTAAGATTGTGTATCGACTATACTTCAATTTAAAAAAAAGCAAGCTGATGACATACAAGTTTGCTATAGTTCTTAATTTTTAAAAAATGTTATGTAATAGCATAAAGGATAAAGGGATATGAACTTCCAATTATAAAAAGTAAGTCATAAGGCCAGTGGTTACCAAAGGGAAGCGGTTGGGGAGGTTGGGTGGGGAGGGAGGGTGAAGGGGATTAAGGTGCACTATGATTAGCACTCAATATAGGTAGGTCATGGGGAAGGCAGTATAGCACAGAGAAGACGGGTAATGACTATAGCATCTTACTATGTTCATGGACAGTGATTTGGGGGGGAGACTTGATAATATGGGTGAATGTTGAAACCACAATGTTACTCATGTGAAACCTTCATAAGATTATATATCAATGAAACCTTAATTTAAAAAAAGTCATAAGGATGTAATGTATAGCATAGGGAATATAGTCAGTCATATTGTAGTAACTTTGTATGGTGACGGATGCTAACTACACTTACAGTGGTGAGCATTTTGTAATGCAGGATCACTACGTTGAACACCTGACACTAATATGATATGTCACAACTATATTTCAAAAAACGTTATTTGTAATTTTATTATTTTTTACATGGGAATGTTTTTCAAAATAAATAATCTTGTAATAGCTGAACTGATAGCAAATGCTATACTTAGACATTCCTAAATTAAAGTTTATTTTGAACTAAGCTTAAGCTAAACTTTTCATACTATTGAATAAATTTCTGAGGATCTCAAAGAAATCATTCAAAATGTGATCCAGTCTAGTGTTTATTTTATGTTATGGCAGATACACTTGAATTTCAAAAATTTAAAACATATAAAAAGTGGTTAAGGACTAACATTTGTATCAACAGTTGATAAATGTCTAAGATTGTTTATTATACAGCAGGGTACAATGGTAGTGCTAATGCCAACAGGGCACCATGGAAGTTAGTCTAAAAATTATCACTAGGCTTTATACAAGCAACAGCATATGCTGCTGTTTCAGAATTTTGGAACACAGTCTGCTTCTAATGCTAAGCAGTCCTTTAACATTTTTAATGTTATACAGTGTTATAGTATTTAGTTTGGCAAATGTTTCAAAATAAAGTAGAAATGTATTCATAACATCACAGAAATGCACATCCAGTTTTTGTTTTCAATAAGAACCATAGGTACAGATCAGAACTCTTCCCTATATGAAATAATTTACACACAGATGAATGCTGTAATACCACTATCTAAAATAATCACTAAATACAATTTTTTTCAGAAATAAACAAGCAAAGGGTTTTTTTCATTATCAAATATCAAAAACATAGAGATAACATTTTCCAAACAAATGATACTCTAAAATTATAGGAATAATTTCAGTGAATTCAGTGAATGTGCAACCCAAATCAATCAAGTACTGTAATACAACCATATTACGAAACCAATGATCAGAAAATACAACCGTATGAAAGAAATTTATAATCCACAAAACTGTTTTTCAGGCCTTAAGGTAAAAGAGATCCACAGTTTACAGGTAAAACCTAGGTGACAAAAATGCGTGCTTGTCTTCAATAAGGAGATACTTTATGCAGAAGATGTAACACTTTGCTTGTAGACAGCATGGTATGCATTTCTCAGCAAGACATAAGGAAAACAAGATTCCAAAAGATCCATTGTCAGAAACGGGGATTCTTGCACAATCTGAAAAATGCCAAAAACACAACAGAATTCACTATTTTCAATGGGAACATTTACTGACAACTAGCAAACCATATTTTCTGCACTGTTCTTATTAGAAATAGACACAAGTTATCTTCCTTTTACTTTAAAATCTGAAAAGTAAATATGCCATGTGTATGCTATCAAAATGTTTAAAATCCCTGCTTTTCAATTAAATGAATTAATCAACAGGAATATACTGAACACTTTCATTGCCCTCAACAATATACTAAACATAAAAGACAAGTTTAAATATAATCATGTAAAATATGGTCTGTATCATCAAGTTTAATGTGGGAACCTAGTTCTAATAAGCTAGAAAGTCAAATCAAACATAAGGTCAACTACAATTAAGTGGGAAGCTGTAAGTTGTAGGGAAGTTCAAAGAGGGAGGAAAGATTAATGTAGGCCACAGTAATCAGGAAAGTCTACCTGAACAAAGGTCTGAGCTATGGAGTATGCGGAGTCATCAGGATAGACACAGATCTCTTAAGGTAAATGAAATTATTCTAAGTGATGGAAAAGGCACAGGGTAGAAATAAGCACGGCTGGTTCATGGTGAAAAGGAGGAACTGACTAGGCATCGGGAATTACAGGAAATTATATAAGATGGGCAGAACAGAGTCAGAATATAGGATATTTGGAAAACTTGAAGTTGAAACTGACACACTGGGAAAATATAAGATCAAAGTGTTTCCCAAGAGGTTAAAAAGCTATTCATAAAAGAGTACCCAATAGTAATGCTAACCTTTTATTTTGTTTTTTGATATGATTACCATACAGTAAAATACAACAATTTTGTCAACAATTTTCAGAAAGTGTGCAACTTGGGTGGAATGAACAGAAGGGATCAAAAAAGTACTTCAGCTCTTATTGTTTACTTAATCACTAAAATGCCAAGAAAGACTATCAGGAATGACTGGAACTTTATTGTTGTTAAAAAAAACTAAAATGAGACTTACCATATCTAGCAGTAAATAAACAGATTCTCTATTTCTTGTTGTTGTTTTATCTGTCTCCTGGCCAATTTTCAGTAGACTGGAGGATGCAAGCTTAAAAGCATATATACTTTGGGTAAGTTTTTTTAATGAATGTTTACGAGTTACTTGTTTATTTTCAATATGTTCAACTTGCAATACATTTCAATAATTCAATGGCTATTTATGTTAATGAGCAATTATGAGCTTAGATTCTTTATTTTCAAGTAATAATTTAAAGAGCTATTAAGATATTAAAAAGATAATAATCAAATATTCTTATTAGTCTTTAAAACTGATTTTTTTCATAACAAGTCTTGAAAAATATATTCTTTAGTACTATATTTATTTAAATTAAAAAAATAAAAAAATATACAAAAGCTAACAGGATTTTACCTAAACTTGACAAGAATTATTCAAGTATTCTAGCATTCATTATAGTGTGGTGCATCTTCCTTCAATAAAATATGGAAAAGGTACACTAACAAGGAAAGACTAACAGACTACACTAACAGAGCAACTAAGAGCCATATTTCATGAGGCTAGAGTCAGTACTACTACCTACTTTTGGCAGTGAGCAGTACTCTTATTTATGAGCTTGTCACTGATAACAGCTTTTCTCTAAATAAATGGAAATAAGTAAAATATTATTTTCTCTCTTTGCTTGTTTCATGTTTTTCCCCTCAAACCCTAGGCTAAATTCTAGGGCAGTATAAACATCAGCTTAGAAAAAAGGTCATATTGCAGAGCTCTAGAAATGAGAGACTTCTAAGTCAAAGGGAAAAAATGGTGAACTATGTCCTGATTTTAATGCTCTGCGTTTACCTGTTGTTCCTTCCAAAAAAATTAAGAGAATTTATTCTGTTACATCTCATTGTTAGGATACTAAATTTTCCTTATAAAAGTTTTATGAGCTTTGTTATTTGACTATACATACCGCTAGAAATTCTTTAAGACGGTCTTCAATGCTTCCTTTGTGGATTGTAAACAAAGCTGCAGCGATCTGGTTGATGGCTTTGGCCAAGCAATGTATGTTATTGCAGTGCCCTGAGAAAGTAAAAACAGGGTTTGTGGTTTCTGTGTGACCCCAAAATACCAAATAATACATAGAAGGCAAATCTTCAGTTACGTCACCATCTACATAAGTAGTGGCATGATCATAAACAGAGTTGAGGCACAACCTGCCTTGCTCTCCTTTCACTCTCTTAAGGACTAGTGCTTTTAAAAACAGTGTAGAAGATACTAACAATTATATCTGTGTCACACAAACTATAAAAACCCCTAAAGGAAATCACACATCAGCTTTACATTGTCTTGAAACTAAAAAGGAAGTTCTTAGCTGCTTTACAAACATCTTTTCATATTCAATCCTTAAAATAATTCCAGGAGTTGGCCTTTCCCTCACTGTCCCCTGCCATGCACACATTCAGGCACCACAGGCTCACATACACACATTTCCTTCATCAAGAAACGGGGGCTCAGAAAATAAAAAATCAACTGTTCAAGGTTAAACAGCTAGTAAGTGGCATAACTTAGCTCACATTTATTATAAATGAACACCAAGTGCTTGAAAACCATGATCATCAAAACTCATGACTTTTCCATTGCCAAAACAATTTTAAACTACTAGTACCTTCTATAGCAGGGCTATACTGAGACATGACATTACTGGCCAGTGTTGGCAAAGAAACTGCCACAAAGACCATGAGGAGGCAGGCAATCTTATATTCTTCTTCTGGACTTATGTTTTCTAAGGGAGAAAAATTAAAAATAAAACCAAGGTATTTCTTCAAGATTAGTTAAGAACAAGCAAATTTTAATTTTTGTATAAAGTATTTTACTGAGCTTCCACAGAACTGACCACAATTTGGTTACATGAAATATAAAATAGAAAAAATGTAATTACTAATGTCTACTACTCAGGCATTATTTCAAGGACCACTAATAAAATAATTAGGCAAAAACAAATTTTTTAAACTGTAAACATCATGGGCAGAAAAGTGATTAGGATAGCTGGAATCCTAAAATTTCCTACTGAAATGGTAACAAATAATTATTAAAAAAATTCTGTTCACAGTTTTGAAAATTTACTATCTCATAAATTATTCTACAAAATCATCAAAAAAATCTTTACTTTTCCTAAAATGGATATGAATGCGATTTGAAATTTATTATTTAAAAGATGCAGATATGGAAAGTGAACTGAATTTCTACCTCTCCATTTTAGAAGTAGAAAGAAACTGTCATAAATGAAAATAACTAACAATGCCCAAAGGCTTTTAAGATATAATTATTTCCAAAGTACTTATAATACATACTGAAATAACTGGTACTTGGGATTCTAGTTATACTCCTATTTACCACAATATTAACTAAGAATTTGAACATAAGAGAAAAACCAGGATATGTTTTGAAAATTTGCTTGATTATGAAAAATACAGCTCAAGAAAATTAATGGTAAGTATCCATGTGACTATAATGTATAATTCAACACACTGTATGAATGATGAAACAAACAGCGATGTTAAGTAAAAAAAAGAACTGATGATTCAGTCAAACACCATGCTACATGCAAGAAGGTAGGGGAGGACATTTTAGTATGAGAAACAGATGAAATGTTATTCCTTTGTAGATAAATCTAGAAATATCTATAGCATTCTGGTGGCATACTACATAGAGCAGACATCTGAATTAATAGATAAGCACCACACCTATATATATATTTCTCTACTAAAAACTAAATATTTATGATGCATTTTACCTGATTTCTGCGAGGAGAGAGCTACCACCAAGGCAGGATCAATCTCACAAGGTAATCCAGCAGCTGAAGATAATTCATACACATTCATTGCAACCTGATTTTAAAAAAAAAAGAATCACGAAGTAAGAAATACTCAAACAAATTTCTGAGAAATCTCACTTTGGGTAAAACTGCAACATTTCCAGAATCTCTCACCTGGACTTAGTGCATCTCCGTATCAATAGGTAATTACACGGGGGAGCGAGGGCTTATCTGGACCTGAGAGGTTGGGTGGGGTCCCCTTTTGCAGCCGGGTGGCAAGGCATGGGTGAGCAGAAGTGGACTGCTTGGAAGCAATAAATGGCTTTCTCCCACTTTATTTCTCCCTTTGACTGATTTTGGTTCAAAGGTGTTTAGCCCCGGGATGGAAAAATATTTTCCCCCCAGCGTTTACACTCACTTTAGTAAGGAGAGATAAAACTGTTTAAGTTAGATTCTGCCTACACAACAACACTCAAGAATCTCAGAAACTGGGCTAAAGCAGGAACTACAGCACAACTAACCTATCTATATTGAACAGCTGAGTTAGTACTTGGTGATGTGCTGATTGTAACTTCCTACTCTTAGACCAAACAAAACTTTTATACTCTCTACAGCAAATTCCCACAGAATCATTCTAAAGGTACTATTTTTCTTGAAGCATAGATGTAAAATATCAAGCCAAAAAAATGAATGATCAAAAGTAAATCAAAATTACTGGACTGATGTTTACATCTGTACTTCCTTAATGAAAAATTTTAAGTGCTTCAATGACTAATCATATCTATGAATATGGTAAATTACTTTTTATAATATATTTTCTAAGGAGTACTCATTTAAAAATCTGATAAATGAATTTCTAATGACCAAATTTTGTCTGGTAGCACAGATTTTAAGTATTTAAGATATTCTGACTGCTGAATACCTCAGTTTGAAAACCACCTAATTTGTAACCTAACTGGTTCCTTGTGATATTGTTACAAAAAAAACCCTCTCAAGGTATAAAATACAGAGTAAAACTGTGTAGCTTAAAGTAAATAGAAATTGGCATAAATTAAGCTCTAGATGAACATTTGTGATCCATTACTCCAAACACAAATATTAACTCAAAATGGATCACAGACTTAAATTTAAGAGCTAAAAAACTGTGAAATTCCCATAAGAAAATATGGGTATAAGTCTTTATGACTTTGGATTAGGCAACTGTTTCTTAGATGACAACAAACGCAGAGGCAACAAAAGAAAAAAACAGATAAATTGGACTTTATTGATACTAAAAATTTCTGTGCTTCAGAGGATACTATGAAGAAAATGAAAAAACAATGCTCAGGAGGAAAGATTTGCAAATCATGTATCTGCTAATGGACTTTTATCTATAATATATAATGAACTCTCAATCTCAAAGTAAAAAGGCAAACAACCCAACTGAGGAATAAGCAAATGATCTGAATAGACACATTTCTCCAAATAGACAAAAACAGCCAATAAGTGCATGAAAAGATGCTCAACATAATTTGCCATAAGGAAAATGCAAATCAAAACAATGAGATGCATTTCACAGACACCAGAATGGCTATAGTTATAACAAATAACAACAAGTACTGATAAGGATATAGAGAAATTGAAACCCTCATACATTGCTGGTGGGAGTAGCCACTTTGAAACCAATCTGGCAGTTTCTCAAAAATTTAAACACTGAGTTTCCGCATGACCCAGCAATTCCAGTCTTGGGATATACCCAAGAGAAATGAAAGTATATGTATACACAAAAAATTTTGAAAAAGTAAAAACAATCCAAATGTCCATCAACTGATGAATGAATAAATAAAATGATATATCCATACAATATTGTTCGGCTATAAAAAAAAAATGAAGTACTGATGCATAAACTTTGAAAAAATGCTAAGTTAAAGAAGCCAGTGTCAGAAGACTATCTATACTATAATGATTGGCATAAAGTGTCAAGAATAGGCAAAACTAAATATAGAGAAAGTAGATTAGTGATTGCTTAGGTCTGGGGACTGGGGGAAAACAGGGAATTGGGGAATGACTGCTAATGGAGACAAGATTTCTTTTGGGGTGATAAAATGTTCTGCAACTAACCATGGTTATAATTGCACAACTCTGTGACTATACTAAGATCCACTGAATTCTATACTTTAAAAGTAAATTTACTGTAGATTAGTTTTATCTCAATAAAGCTATTACAAATATATATCTGATTACAAAAGTAAAATTCTGTTGAAAATTTGCTGAAAACTACAATTATGTCAAGCACTAAGAAAATTGATATAGTTGAGGAATTATAGTATTCTCATAATCTGCACACCAGTGTCTTCTCAAGGACTGATTACTTCTTTAATGTTTTCTTAACTTTTTTTCCTACTATTTCTACTTAATAATTTTGTGCTATTCATACATGGTTTTTAATCATAAAATCATAGGACAATCATTGATCTCAAATATTTATTCTGTGTAAAGCACTCTGAAATAAAAATAAAGAAAACAAGGTCTTGGTCTTAAGAATATTTACAACCTATTTTAATTTAAGTGGAAAAATGCAACTATGATATAAGACAGAATGTATTTAATTTCACAATGAAAAAACAAAAAGTTCTCTGATAACACTAAAAAAGAAATACTTTATCATTTGGGGATCAAGGAATATTTCTTAGAAGATGTCAACTGAACCAGGTCTTAAAAGATAGGCAGGATTTCAATGGGCAGGGAGAGAAAAGGGCAGGATTTTCAGGTAGAATAAATTAGAGGACAAAACAGAGAGATGTGAGAATGCACAAAGATATAGTTAGCTCAAAGGGAATATGAAGAGAGTGGTAGTAAGAAAGGGAAGAGTGTGGGAGAAGGATGAAACAATGTACAGAAGCTTCAAAAAGTGAGTGGCATCGATCTGAGAAGAGACTTCAGTGTCATACAAACAAGTTTAGACATAACTTTTCTCAGTCAGTGCTTTTCAAAATTTGAGAAAGAAAATAATCTTTCCCAGAAGAATGAAAGCTTAGAAACATAAATATGAGCGTCCCAATATGTCACTTACTAGATATGTAACAACTGGTACATCATTGCTGGGATTTACAAGGCTACCAACTCTGTCTTATTATTTATTAATTAAAAAACAAGATAGTAAAAAATTTTTCAATTATAGCTTACAATTTACATCCTTTTGTAAGACTTTTAACATCAATTTTTAAAAACTGAATTTATTTTTATTTAAAACAAAACAGTTGTTATTTCGCTGGCTTATCTTTCTCATTCTGCGTATGGCCACATATAAACAACTATTAGTTTAAGGTAAAAAAGATCAGTATCAACCCATGTTACATTGCTATAGGTAATCAAGGATGACTGACTTTCAAAATACCTACAAGCATTTTGGTGCTGAGTCCTTAAAGATGCATTTTCAAAGGCAAGTATGTTAACTAATCATTCTAAAATTGAAACTTTAGAGTAGCTTAGGATTTATTAAGTTGTATTTCATATATAACTTAAACATTTCACTTCAGAAACTGTAAAACCCAAGTAGAAGTTTGTTACCTTCATATCCGTTTCCCTTGGAATGTGATCCTTGAAATCTTCAATTGAACTTACAAGAAAAGGAATGTGGTAGGATAAGACCTAAGCAGGACAACAAATAAGAATGTAGAATTATTTTTAAGTGGTGACCCCTAACTTTATGAAATATTACCTTTCAATTTCTTATAGTTTTCATAAAATTTTACTTTTTCTATTTTCACGTGACCTTCTAAAGTATTTGGATATGGAGAAAGGCAATGTATTTGATGCCAAACTGAGTATATAGTCAAAATGTGAAATGCTTTATTTAATGAAAAGTTGAAAAAGTGGTGCAATATGCAGGCAAATTATACCTCCTGGATTTCAATACCAAAGCAAAAATTAGTTTAAATAACTTAATCTCTGTATACTTTATTTTATATAACTATGAAAACTAGACTTAATTATATCACTACCAACTGTAAGTTTAAAGAGTAACTCTTAATTTCCAGGAAAACAAGGATTTTTTGGATATAGTATACGTGCTTATAATGGTTTCTTACATCTCTAAGCGCTTCTTGTGCCAATGATCTGAAGGATAAAATTACACCAATTATTGTCATCCTCTTCAAGACACTGTCAACAGCTGAATTTGAAAGAAGGGGAAGAGAAGAAAGGAATGTGAATTGGATTCTTTCTTAACCTTGGCAAAAACTCTTAGTCATAAAATCCCCACAAAAAAAGGCACAATTAACAGCAATTTGACTATGACAAATAATAAAAGGTACTGAAAGCTGATATATTAAAATTAAGGAAATTATAGTTTTTTCAAATTAAGTACACTCTTTTCTTTAAAATGGTTTAGATCGTTCAGCAGAATCTTGAAATAGTCATGTAAGTAGCCACCTCAGAAATGGCACAGGTAAGGAGGTAGGAGAGAGAGACGAGGGGAGAAAGACGAAGCTTATCAGAATGGATATGAGTTAAATCCTCAAATGCCCTGGAACTTAAAGACATTTAAATTCTTAAGCTGTTGAGGTCTAGGAGTCAAGAAAACAAAAATGACTACTGAGATCACCAACACTGTGTGCAAGACCAGGTTGCTGAAGACTGTGGGTGGATTTGATCACTTACGCTTTGGTTAGGGAACACTGTTCTGAAAGTTATTATATATTCAATATTATATATCCAATATTAAAACTTGGTTTACAAAGTCAAGGAAGATTAGGACTGGAAGGATCAATACCTTTATATTTTGAAAAGCCAACAAACATTTACTGATTTATTCCCCATAAACAAGGCACTGTACTATGTAATAAGAATAAAAATATAAACAGAATAGTGAGCTATACCTTAATAAGTCTAAATGGACGGTCAAAAAAACTAAGAAAATATTATTCTATTTATGTGAGAGAAAAGCTACACACATACATATGTATGTATATTTGTAATGTAGAACACATTTCTAGAAACATATATAGAAAATTGTTAAATGCAGTTACCTTTGAGATGTGGAAATGGAGAGAACTGTTTTTGAATTTCTACCTCCTGTGTGGTTTAAACCTTTACCACAAACATCTTTTATTAAAACACATAATAAAACACAATATAAGCCAAAATGTGATGAATTAAAATAGTAGTATTACAAAATGATGTAAGGAACAAATAGGGTTATAAATTCCACAAGAGCAGGAACATAAGGTAATTTATAATTAATCTTTTTATCTATCTCTAGCACTCAGTAGAACATCTCCTACTTACTAGTAGAAGACCAGAAGATACTCAATAGACTGGTTATTCAAGAAATAAGACCAGGAAATTGTTACTGTCCAGAAAAGGAGAGAAGAAATAAAAGTGAAAAGAAAGATTTCCCTGAGAAAATGTCATCCAAGAAGGGCACAGAGGAGTAAAGAGAAGGGTATTCCAGCTCAGAAAACAAAATTACAAACAGAAAAGGAATAGCAGGGAATATGGTGAATAATCAGAAAATAAGTAGTGTGATATAATCATGTATTATCCAAAGGATGATACCCAGAATTTAATCAAAAAGTTTGCAAAAATTATATCCTTTAACCCTCCTCTTGAATATGTATGTACAACAACGATGATACATTAAAATTTCTGAGAAATTTCAAAGTAAGAAATCTTACTTTTCTTATTGTTTAATAGATTATTTGCCAAACCTATTTGACTACCAGCACCTCCTCGCATCTCCCATGATTTCGATTAACATCGTGCTAAGGTCTGAATGTTTGTGTCCCTACAAAATTCCTATATTGGAATCCTAAGCCCTCTACAGCTGATGGTATTAGGAGATAGGGCCTTTGCAAGGCACTCAAGCACCTTAAGGATGGAATTCTCATGAATTCAGTTAGTGTCTTAGGGAGGCTCCAGTGAGATCTCTGGTCTTTGGGTCATGTAAGAATACAACGAGACGCCAGCTGCCCCTAACCTGAAAAGGGCCCTCATGATGAAGCTGGCACTATCAGCTCAGATTTCTACCCTCCAGAACCGTAAGAGATAAATTTCTGTTGTTTATAAACACCCAACTGTGGTATTTTGTTGTAGCAGCCCAGACTAAGATACATCTCAAGGAACTAATAATATTCAAGCAGTGGCTATGTGGGTTTCAGACCTGGCAAGGAGAAGGCAGTGGGGGAAAGAATGGCTGGGTATGAGATTAACCCAAATAATGGTTTTTCAATGCCATGCTCACAAGTTTAAGCAATGAGGGAGTTGCTCTGGGTTTTTGAAATATGAGGAATGATACATAAAGAAATCATTATAAATATGACCCTCTATGTGGGAGATAGGTTAGAAAGGGAAAAACGGACATACATTAGGAAGCCATGACTGTAGTTCATGAAACAGTGAAAAAGCCTTAAAGAGAACCACAGGAATAGAAAGGAATAGATTTTGGGGCATTACACTTAGAAGGTAAGATCTGTAGTAGGAGTTACAAGCTCACATACCAACAGCAGATAACATAAAATATTGAAGTATACTAGGTATAAAACTAATGAGTGGGAGAGAATGAAGAAAAAATTTCTGAAGGGTACAAATGCTACTTAGCTCCAGCCTATCACTGTCATGTAGGGAGATGCTCAGTATTTGGGGGGAAGCCAGAAGTTCGGATTTTTATGTGAAATCTCCCATTTAAAAAATAATAGGCAAAAAACATTATTTTAATTTAATGTAGTATAGGGTCAAAGAAAGTCTTGGGTCAAATGTGACCCATCAATTTGTAAACTCTCATCTGTAAGATACATCTATTGGATGTGGAATGTGATTGTAGGAAAAATCAGGGACAATACCCAAGTTTCCTTGTGCAACTCACTGAGTGGATGGCATGGGAGGTAATAAAATGGTTAATAAAGAAAGAATATCAGGCTTTTTTTCTCCTCCCTACCCACTTGCACCACTCATGAGGGGATGATCCTTCCCATTCTAGAAATGTTGTGAAATATCTGTGGGTTATATATACCTGAAGATTTCTAACAGTGTTTCTCAAACTTTAGTTTGATTCAGTTGGTCTGGGGTGGGACCCAATAATTTATATTCTTAACAGACTCCAATGTGGTGTTGTTGCTTGTTGTTTCTAGTCCACAGACCACAGTTTGAGAAGCCCTGGGTCAAACGAATACTTGGTATTAAACTCCTGGAGCTCATAAGGAGAAGTCGAGGCTGGAATGAATATTTAAGACTCACTGATAAATAAGACTGGATAAGTTTTCCCAGTAGCATTACAGAACAATACTAAAAAAAACGTAGTGATAAAAACCAACAAATGAAGAGAATAAAGTTTCAATGAAAAGCAGGATAAAAGAGATAAACACTACAGAGAAATTAAGTAAAATAAAAGTAGGGAAAGAGGACCAGATTTTGCAAATGGGTAGTCACTATGACTTGTTTCCGAGAGGTTTCAGGAAAGTAGCCATATTACATTGTACTGAGAGTAGAGAATTGAGACGATGAAACAGTGAATGTAAGCTAGTCAAAAAGCTTAGCAATGTGAAGAGGGTGGGATGAGCAAGAGGTAAGTTATAGACTTAAGAAGTGTTATTTCACAAGCAGTGCCTGGCTTCAAGGAGCAAGAGGCTTTTCCAGAATCAGGGAAATTGTGTGGGATGATGAATGTAGCAGAAAGTCAAGGATGTAACAGCAAAGAGAAAAATGCAACTAAAGTTACTAACAAAATTTTACTTAGTTCAGAATGGCTAAGGAAGTAAAACCAAGAAGAAACTGATTGGAAAATTAGAGACATCAAAGTTTCTATGAGCAAAAATTAACAGGAGCAACGAAATGGGAGAGCTGGATGCTATGCCTATAGTCTGAGAGTTTGAGTGTCAAATTCAAGATTTTACTAGCACAACAGTTTTAGGTAATAATAATATCCAAAGTACTGCTGAAGTAAAGGTCTTTGGAGGCAACTTGTAGGTTTATAGACAGTGGCACGGTCAGGGTAAAAGTGAATGGAATGAGTTTTAAAAAGGAAAAATTACTACAGGGAAACTAAAAAAGAAAATTTGGAATAAGGAAGCCAGTGAAGTGATAAACTTAACCCTAAAACAGGGTCAGAGAACAGAAAGTAAGGAATAGGGACATTATTAGATTTCCTCAGTCATATAGTTAAGCATAAACTGAAAATTAATTCCAGATTGCCTCCTGATTTAGAGCCACTTTTAATAAATCATATTGCTTTTTCTTTGTAAGAGTATTTAAAAGAATGTGTCTGTTGACTGAAAATCATACTACTACAAAAGTACAACAACTTCTGGATATAGGGTTAAGGAAGCACAATGGCATGAATCAGAGACCAAAAAGAGTATTCTGGAAAACAGTTCAACTGAAAGAGCAGCTTTCTCTATTCCCCTAAATAAGCCACTCTCAAGCAGATCTTTTCCTAAATCACAAAAAAAGATTTAATAAATTCTCTTTAAAGACAAATTTGATATATACAGATCATTGTGACTGAACAATTCAATTTTTATTTTGGCCAATTCTACAATTTCATGAATGACAATTATATACAATGTTCAAGTAAACAGAATCTAGATAAAGAACTTATGGTTTTATTTTGAAAACTTGCAAATCATGTTAGGAATTTTAACATTTTGCTTCAATTCCACAAATAGGAGAGCTGAAGTAAACAGGCATTGAACACTGAAGTGGATTAGCTGCTTCTAACCAGATGATACAGTCAAAACATTACTTATTAGTAGGAGGGCAAGTTGGGTTATGGATAGGTGGTCAGTCAAGTGAGTATTAAAAATGGCAGAAGCATGAAAAAACAATAAAAGTAAAGAAAAAAGGACCAGAAAACATAAGTATATAGTAAAATAATACAATCCAGTAGAGACTTAAAAAATGATTTCCTACTAAGTATTTATTCACACTCTTCCTCCCTACAATGCTACCAAGCCAATCTTTCATTTTTCATTTTTTTACCTTCATTTTTAAAGCACCATATAGTAAACTTGGCCTTTTTTTCCTTGTTGGTATGCAGCTGTAGGAAAACAAGTTTAACACGTGCAGATTCATGTTATCACTATCACCATACATGTGCAGATTCATGTTATCACCATCACTATGCTAATGAACAGTTTCATCACCCCAAAGGACTCCCTCATTGCTTTCCCTTTATGATGCTGGCAATGCCATTGAGCTGTTCTATAAAGCAATCTGTACTGTAGTTTACTTTCATACTAATTTTTTGAAATAAATTTGTATTTTTAAAGCTGGATAAGACAGACTAATAAATTGATTCTCTAAATTATTTTAGTTTTCTAAAATTTGATATAGCTACAAAGAGAAAACACCAAAGGGAAAATATGTAAAATATATGCATGGCTTTAATTTTCTTCAGGATTATTTTTTTGGGAAAATAAACTCTCTGGTTTTCCCAAATACGAAGACTGCTTTATTTGGGATTTTAATGTTAGGAAGGATTTAAATGAATCAATAAAAAGTATAACTTTAAAATAATTTTTAATTATAAATTTGAGTTCAAGTACAAAAAGCAAATGAAAATAAAATTAATTCAAGTGCATCTAAAATATGTACCTGGCTAAAAATACTTTAATAAATATTTAAGACTCACTCTAATTTCAGAATATACCTTCTACAAAAAAAATCAGTGTCAAGACATTAAAAAATGTTTTTAAGTTGTAGCCTCAGGCATGCAACGAATACTAGCTGGCAATAAAAAGGAACAAATTACTGATTCACTTAACACATATGGGTCAATCTTAAAAGCATGCTAACTGATAGAAGTCAGACACAAAAGAGTACACACCATGATTCCATTTATATAAAGTTCTAGAACAGGCAAATTCTGCAGTGATAGACATCAGATTAGTTATCTAGCTTTGGGGACTTGGGGTGAGAAACTGACACAGGGACACAAGAGAACTTTCTGAGGTGATGAAATTGGTCTTTATCTTGATTGTGGTAATGGTTACATGGATATACATATTTCTCAAAACCCATCACACTGTTCACTTAAATGTGTGCATCTCATAAGTAAATAATACCTAAAATTGATTTTTATTAAGTTACAGACTCAAAAGTTAATTCTCCTTTAATCTAATAGCATTTATTGTACTAAATTTAATGTGTTCATGAACTAACTGATAATGATAATAGTCGTGAAATAGTTGACAGATGGTACTAAGAATATGCTTTTTAAAAAGCGTGAAACAGATAAGCCATATATTTATGTTTACAAGATCCTTTGTATGCAAAAATTTTCTAGTCCTTTTCCTAAACTACTTTTCACAGCTTACTATTTATTTTTACAAAATTTGAGCAAAAGCTAACTACTGAATATCAAAGTCTTCTTAAGGCTTATAAAAAGTATCAGGAGCTACCCACATGATAATCTCTTAAAGAGTGCAGCCATCTGGTCTGGTTTGTCAAAGCTGGTCCTCATTTGTGTGAGCACATCAACATTTTCCACCACAAGTTTCTAAAAAAGAGAAAGATCCTAAATCAGGCAAAGACATCCTTGTGTTAATGAGATAAGAGCATGCTTGAAAATTACAATCTGTCAAGTAGGAAACAACTCATAAAATCCAGATGCTCTATGCTACATATTTTTGTTATTTTAATTGAAGAATCTTAAAATTATTTACATAGGATTAGTGCCTATTTCAGTTTACAAACTCAGAAGGGAGGAATTCAGGAAAAAGCAATAAAGATAAATAGTAAGATAAAGGATTACCTTATACGAGATACAGACAGCATCGATAATAAAAAACAGACACTGAAGTGGATATAGAAAGCAATAAATTCCAACAAAAACCAAAAGAACTTGCTAAAGCTGAAGTTGGCCAAAGACAGCTTAGAGTTCATCACTGGATATATGCAATTGGAAGGGGAATACTTGTCCAGATATGATAGCACTTCATGGGAATTATAATACAGCCATGTTTCCCAGCAAAAATTTATAAAATGGAAGTAACAACTATCTACTTTTTCAGGGACCACTGAGAAAAATGAAGAGAAAAGAAGGAAGGGATATAAGTAAGGGTAGGGAATGAAGGGTATACTCAAGAAAGCATAACTCATTAAAGAATGTTTTTCTTAAGAAGAATATTAGAAAAGTAATTTAGTTTAAAAATTGTAACTAAAATAAATACAATTAATTTGAGTCTGGCAGAGATAATGACTATATGTATTTAAAATACCCAGGGCAACATATATCCAGGCTTCATCCCTGAGTATTTCAATTCAGTAGGCCTGTGTGAAGATGTGGCAAGCATATTGTTAAAAATGCCATAATGGATTTGTTACAAGCCCAAGGCTGATGACAACTGATTTAAGGGGGGCATGAAACACTCTGCAGAAAATCTGTAAACATCATTTTTCCTGTACTAGTATGAATTTTGTTTAGGTTACCTGATATGACAGGCATACCCTGGAGATACTGCAGGTTCAGTTCCAGACCACCACAATAAAGCAAGTACCACAATAGAGCAAGCCAAATGAATTTTTTGGTTTCCCAGTGCATATAAAAGTTATGTTTACACTATACTGCAGTCTACTAAGAGTGCAAATAATATTATATAAAAAAAGTACACATACCTTAATTTAAAAATATTTTATTGCTAAAGATGCTAACCATCATCTGAACTTTCAGTAACCCATAATTACTGATCACACTTCACCATAAGAAATATAATAATAAAAACGTCTGAAATGTTGTAAAAATTACCAAAACATGACAAGGACACAAAGTGAGCAAATGCTGTTGGAGAAAGGGTGCCAACAAGACTTGCTTGACGCCACAAACCTTCAGTTGTAAAAAGCTCACTATCTGTGAAGTACAATAAAGTGAAGCACAATAAAACAAGATATGCCTGTACTTCAGATTATTTCTTTTTGTTCCTATCAGATGTTCAGCTCCAGTTACTTTATTCACTAAATTCAACTTCTATAGTCTCTGATTAAGCTGCTCCTCTCTCTGGGGCTAATATACTACTTGTCTAAATCTAAAACAGAATTCAAACAATGTATACTCAAACTATATGCCAAACCCTGACAGTATCCTGTACCTTGAATATAATGTCACATATCAGTGAATTAGATACCAATGAATATTTAATGCACCGTTATCTTATATGCCATTAAGAAAAAACTACCAATTAAACTGACACAGTATTTTCTAATCATTTAACTTTGACACATACAATTTCTGAAATATTAATATAGAACAACTATGTTTTAGAATCAATAAATTAGAGTTTATATTTAATAGTAAGAATATGGAAATCACTTTCAAACTCCTATACTAGGCAATTTACAAACAATCCCATTACCCTGATCCAAATGAGGTGATATTCCAGTTTTACAATTGAGAAAACTAAGGTTTAGAGCGGTTAGATAACTTGCCTAAAGTTAAAAAGATATGAAATAGTGGAATATGAATTCAGGTATGTCTGATTTAAAAATTCATGCTCTGAACCCCTAAGGAAATGGTTTCCGACCTTCAGTATCTATCAGAATGACCTGGAGGGCTTACTACTGAAAACACACACTGCTGGGTCCTAGACCCTCAAGTTCTCATTTAGCAAGTCTGAGGTAGGACTGAAAACTGTTCATTTCAAACAAGTTCCAAGTGCTGTTGGTGCTGAAGGCCACACTTCAGGAGCTGTGACACTAAAGCAGGTGTTTGTACATTACTCTTTGAAAAAAAAAAGTTAACAATGTCTCCTTTTGAAAGTAAGTTTATATATTAAAATTTTTCCTTTTCTTCTTCAACTGCATCCTGAAACAAAGAGCCCTCTACATATATAAAGCAGTGATTAGTATCATTGGTGAATGGAATGAAAAGTGGAAATAACAGGAATTACTGATTAAATGATTCAGAATAAGCTAAAAACATTAAGTAAAAACATCAAGTACTAAAAAGCTTGGTTTTCTGTTAAAAAGAAACTGTTGAATTCTTAGCATAATTGGTATTTAAATTTCCTATTTCACTTGAAAAAAACCTAATAGGACCCTGTGAAGAAGTAGAAGAACTGATATGTAAAATACCAAAACAATTCTTTTGGCAATATTGGAAAGAGAAATTGATGCAATGGGCACAACTCCAAATGAAACACCTCAAGAATCCGATAAGGACAGAAGACTGGTTGTTTTCTTCCTCAGAAAGTAATGTACCACCTTTTACCGTGAGAACACTGCAGAAATGTTGACTATGTCTGACACACAATTTTATTCACAACCATTAAATACAATGAAGCACTTCTTTCTGTCTTGGCACACTAATTTACTCTTTGAAACAAAAAAGTTCTCAAGGTAAAACAAGAATTAAAACAATTAAAGGCTTCTTTAAGATAAAAAGATGCAGCCACATAATAACTAGTTTATGTTAATTTTAGATTAAATATAAAAAATGAAATAGAGAAAAATAAAACCTAAGAAGTTATAGAATGATCTTAAAAATACATAATTACACACACAAAATTTTATGCCCTAATTTCAAAAAGACTAAAATGCTATTAGAGGCATCATTACACTCTAATGCATGGAGTATGAGCTACAATCTCTTCAGAGATATTTGGCAGTATCAGAAGGAATCTGATCCACTTAAAAAAATCATTCCTATAGAAATGCTCAAGTAAGTATATAAACTATGTTGAAGTTCTAGTTAAATGTAGAGAATTCTATACATATGTCTAAAACTCTGCTTCCAGAAACCCACTAACTTTTGAGAAAAGAAAAGAAAGGCATAAACCTACAATAACAAAGAAAATAGTTGAAACAAGATCAAATGAGAGATGTGAAGAAACTTTTAGAAGATGTAAAGCAGAGCAAAGAATAAGTAGAGATGGGAAATTATCAGCAAGCTCCTGTAGGAGAGATATAATGTAGTAGGCAAGTTAATGCATGCCTCAAGATCCAAGCAGGGCTCAGAAACTGTAGCAGTGTAATGGAAACGAAAGACTAAGATTGAAAACAGAAGAGTTTTTACATGTCTGTAGGGCTGGGGAGTTGTCAGGTGTTGTTACACATCTAACTTCACACCATCTTAAGAAGACCAACAAGGAGGACTAAATTCAGGAACACCAAAACAGAAGGTGGCAGAAGAGAGAAGGGGATAGAAGGGCCTAAGACAGCCAACTAGATGTATTGACCTACCTCCACCCTCCACTGATTTCCAATAGACTTCCCTATATAGCTGGAGGTCAGTGTTAGACAAATTATTTGAAGGATTCACTTGAAGCCTAGAATGAAGACACCTTTCTCCAGAGAGGATTTTTTTTAGCTTCTGCCACACACCTTGGGACCCTACTAATAATCTAGGACCCCTTAATCAGGTTCAAGACGATAGACTCCTTGGAGCACCAACAGGGCTACAAATCCTGGGGAAGGGTGAATCATTTCTACTTCACTGATACCATGGTGATACAAGAACCCTTTGGGGTGTCTATGTAAAGGTGGAGAGGAATGTAGGCAGACTTCCCACTCCCCACTTTGGGCAAGCTTTGGGTTTTTATTATTGACCCCTTTGCTCAATAAGGCCACAAAAACTTACACCTTAATTTCATAAATGTTATTGCTGGAACAGCTAATGTCCTCAGGTCAAAAGGGGCTTCCAGTTAGGCTTATGTGTCTGAGTTCCCACACTCTCCTTGCTTTTAGCTTAGAAAACCTATCTTTTTAGCTCATCTTTAAAAGATTCTGTTTCTTCATATGTCTCTCCAGTTTTTCAAGTTTTCATTAAGAGAAAAGGTGCTCTAAATAACCTAGTCTAATACTGGAAGCAAAAATCTATGTTATTTTGACTCTGTAATTTCATAAATTAGGTTATTCTAAGGAAAGCAATTTTATGGGACACAAACTACAAAAAAAAGTTAGAATCATCTCCAACAGACTGAGTACTTTTGGAGATTTATCTCAATGACATAGAATAATATGCAACACACTGAACTTGTTTATATGAAACATTATATTATGATGATTTCTTATGTAATAAAATACAAGAATACACATTAAACTATGTCTCAGTGCACAGAGGCTGAGAATACAAAATCATGAATAACACCTTCTCCAGTTGTTAATAATACACAAGTAGCTGAATCCAGAGAAACCTAGATTACATCTTGGGGTTGTTAAGAAGCATCTCTAAGAAAATTGTTGTCAAGCACTGTGGAAACCCAGAAAACTGAATCCTTAGGACTAGCTTTGTTTTGAAGAAACCTAAATGACGAAGGCTCAATGCTACAAATGTAAAGCTTTCATATTTATGGTTGACCACATGAAGAAGACTTTTGAAAAATGTTTAATCAAATTGGGATTTACTACTTGAGAAGCAAAAAGTGAAAACAGAAAGCCCCTAAATACTAAAACATAATCATATGGTTTTTATAAAGTGTTCCTACAACTAACAATAAATCATTAATAAAATATCCAAGTTTTTATAATGCTAAAATGAAAAGTCACATCAAGTAAGAAGAATCA